CTGGTACCATAATCAGAAGAATATATTCGTAATTCATGATATTTGTGTTTTTCAATGAATTTCTAAACTTTAGAATCCAGTGCATTAAATTCTTTCATGATGTGCCCCTATAAAACACTCCCTATTAGATGACATCTCTTCCAAAAAGTATATTACTTTTGTGAGTGGAAACCAGATTCCATGTAAATAAAATGATTATACTTATCAATGATCAATCCACAGATTGAAAATAGTTAAATTACTATTTGTATTTTCTCACTGTGAACTACCAAGGAACTTATTTTTGACAACCCTATTACGCTATGGACAGCTTGGTACAGCACCTTTCATAAAAATGCTAAATAACTTCTTATTAACTGTGCTTTTAAATACATGATACTGAGGTCTGGAAAATCAAATGATACATCCAGCATCAGTCAAAGTCTGAGACCTAAAAATGAAACAGATGTTTTCAATATCACTGTAAGAAATGACATCAAAATAAAAGGATTAGAATGATTAGATAAATATTCAAGTTAAAATATCAGAGACAATGTACCTTGGATAATTTTCACATCAAATTATCGTAAGTAAATAGAGATAGCATCCAGATAGCCTATGAGAGCTAGCTAGTATCCTGAAATCATACTTAAAATTATCTATTTGCATTTCAAGATTTACACAGAGAGTTTTAGTTTTGTATAAATATTTTATACTATTGTTCAAAGTCCATGTCCTTGATTAAAAATAATGTTTTCTCTTATTTCTGCTACAACAAAACAGATATTAAGCGAGATGAATTTATAAATCCTTTAAAAGCCATGTGTCCTGTACTTGCTCAGTCAAATACTGAACAAAGATTTAGAAGTATTTTTTATCACAGATACTGCTGGCAGCAGATGAAATAGATATACTCCAAAAAAATCATAAATCTTGAATAAGTCTTTGCAATGTACAAAATGATAAAATAGTTCCAGATGAAAAATATAGATTACAATTTAAAAATATGTAAACAGCCAGAGACAAAATAGTGCATTAAAAAAAATTAAGAAGTTCATAGTAAGTTCGTGAAACAAATTCTGGAATAAGCACATTAGTGAGTTTAAGTTGGTCTAAGCTGTAAGGGAAGGAGAGAATAGCTGTATCCATCCCTCTCTTATCTTTAAGTACTAACATCAGTTTTGGCCTTTTACTTTTTGACAGCCAGCAGTTAAGCTGTATCAATCTCATGGAAAAGGGGAGGACTGAAGAAGAAACCAATTCGCAATTGCACTTACAAGTGTACATGAAATAGATACAAAATTTAGCCTCAGATCATTTGCGTTTACCTCTAAAATAAGTAAAACAATATGGAAACACTTTTATTAAAGAAACGCCTAATTTCATTTAAAATAATTTTTGTCATCTGCATCTTTCCGAGGTAGCAAAGAAGGAAAAGCAAGCATGACATTCATGGTACTATTTACCAATTATGAAAGGAAATTCCCATCTGAAGTGTATTGTGGAAAAGTAAAATTGATTTCTTCCTTCAGGTAAACAAAAGTAATGCTATATTCCGCCAATTTCAGGGGTGCTAGAAGAACAGTTTCACGTTGTAGTCACACATGAATGTTTTCTTATAAAAAAAAGGCTGTCAGGAGAGGGTAATGCTGAAGTTCTTGGTCTATAAGTACACAAAAAGATTCAAGTTGTTCTTTTCAGTGACATGTACAGAGGAGAAAAAAACACAACCCTCTATTTGAAATGCATTCTGGGTATTCTTAATTCTATTTCATCAATTGTTCCTCCTTACTGAGAGTTTCCAATGCATTACTTTATATTGTGGACAAATGTCCAAGAAAGTACTAAAAAAATAAATTAGACTTTGCAACAATAATATTGACAGATACATATTTTCCTGGAACAAAACCAAAGAAAAATATTCTCCATGCACAGGTTTCTGCTGTACTAATGGGAATTCAGCATAGCACAACATGACAGATCTGAAGAGAGAGTTTTATTCCAGTATAAATGGCTAATATAGAGACTACCATCCTCTTGAGGATGATACAACATGCAGTTTTATGATCACTGAATTTTTCAAAATAAAAAGAAGAAAACAAAATTGAAAAAAAATTGAAATTGCCCTAAAAGGGAGTTATGAATTTATCCAAATAGACGCAAATCAAGTAATTAAAAGGAAGATGTAATATAAGCTGGATTTCCTGCCTAGTGTCCTCTGACTTCTCCTGACAGAACTGTCTTGTGGTAAATACTTGCCTAGGAATTGCTCTGTCCTCTATGCAAACCCTGTCAGAAGAAAACAACTGCTGTACAGTGGGAAGGATCACATCATTATGTAAGCTCATCTACATGCATCCTCAACAAGTCTCTAACTGCAATGACTCATAGGGAGTGCTCCAACTCAGTTAAAATCTTACGCTAACAGCAAACAATTTCTACCAGCATTAAGCCTTAGTAAAATGTTGCTTAATCACCTTTGTTAATTTTTAATATAAAATACGGTCTTGTCATGATTGAAATATTATAGAAAATTGAATGATCTTAAGTCTGATATGCTATTACACACACAGAGCTGTGCTGTGAATTTATCTTCCACCTTAACACTAAATTCCCTGACTTCGATTTTGTTAAATAAGCTCTTTCATATTGTCTTTATATAACAATTTATTAGAAAATCCACACCCAAGCAGTTATTTTCTATTAAGAATCATCATACCTAGCCATAGATCAAAACAAATTCGTTTTGTTCTCTCTTAGTCTCCTATTGGTTACTTACTTGACTACTGACAGGTTTTAGATTACCGTGTTGGAACCTATTTTCATGTCACAGCCGCAGTGCAGATACTTGTGACATACTGGTGCTGAATACTAATCACTACTACAGTCTAGGAACAATTGCCAGCTACATCACTTATCACAAGCATGAACAGAAAAGCCTTAATTGCCTTATCATGTGCTTTGTGCTTGCTGCTGAAATGGTTAGAAAACACTAGGAAATGAAAGCTTGAAAGCTGGGATAAAATAATTAAAAACCAGTAAAGATTTCTAGGGTTAATGATAAATGAATTTCCAAACGCCACTTACAGAATGTATTACTCTTTTTCATTTATACAATTTTAATGCAGCTCAAAAGAGGTCTTGGTTATTTCTATGAAAATGGAACTGAATATGAGTCAGGGATAAAATGCATTAGCAGATGTAAGGTGGGATACAGGCACTATACAAAGCATATACTTTTCTCTTAGTTTGGATATTCCAGCTGTATCACTTGATAACATTCTCATAGAACAATTTTTGGTAAAGATTTATATTTTTTAGCTATTAAAAGACATTTAAGTTTAATATACACAGTAGTTTTGATTATTCAAAATTCATAGAACAGATGTAAAGCAGATACCTCTCTGATACTAATAAAAAAGCCAAACAGTATTTTCTGTTAAATAGAAGAACATATTATTTAATTCTCTCAGTAATGATCATCAGGGTAGAGTCATATTAAGAAGAAAAACAAAAAAAAAAAAGGTAAAAGAGCAAAAAAATAGAAAGAACACTTTTTAAAAAGATGTATTTGTTCAACGTTTTCAAAACCTTCTAATTAAAATACACAAAACAATAACATTAAGAGGGAGAGAATAAAGACTGAACAGAGTAGACTGTTCATAAAATAACCCATAGTTGTTGGCAAAGATTTTATATTTGTCAGTTAAAGATGATGGAGCCAAACAACTATCGCTGGAATGGAAGCAGTCTGTTGAAGAAAGCTTTCATATTGAAGTGAAGGATATCATAACATACAGTGTTCTTATAATTCTTCTATCTGTATTGTTTCTCTCTAAATTTCATTACTCTCTGCATTAGATGTCTCTTTCAACAGCTGCATACATGTTGATCAAAAATATGACATATTGCTTTAATATGCTTTGTCCTGTTATATGTAAAATTATTAATACAGACAGAAAGTTCTAAACAGTTCATAAAATATCAGAGAATCAATAATTAGTATCAATGTTAACTTCAAGAGGGAAATAACTTGTTTTGAAGAAAATTTTTCTGGAAAACTAATTTGTGCAAGGTCTGATAGGAGCACTCAGCTAACTTAAATGGAAGCTGTGTTTGAAAAACTGTTAGCGTTAATTGAATATTATTTGAACACCAAATATGTTAAACTTAACAGCACATTAAAAAAACTGAATAAGATATTTATTAAGCATGAATCAGTTCTAAATAGAATAGTATGAAGTAACTTTAACAATTTTCACAAAAAAGGAAGATACACAACCATGATGATTTGTGGACATAATGAAGCAGACGTGGTTGTTGTTTTTTTCGCAGTTAAAAGAGATATAAAGGAGTGTAATTAAAATTGCACTAGAATTACATTTTACACTTTTTAAAAACTAGATGTGAATTAAAATTAATTAGATGTATTTGAGATGTTTTAAAGTGACTTAATTTTACTTCATTCTAAGTCAAGATATTTTCACTTAAGATCTTTTATTACACACAACAATAATGAAACATACTTAAACAATGTCCTTATGTTACTGTCCACAAACATATTTGAAAATTCTTGAAATCAGTAAGTAAATAAAATCTAAAATCTACTGCCAGGCTGATATATATCCAATTAAGTATGGTTTATGGGTAACTCCACTGTAATTTATCCAGGAAGTAAATACGTGTGTGCATATATACATAAACATACCCAGACTTACTCTGTCTGCAGAAATACCAGTATGCATCCTTACTATTTATTAACGAAATATTAAAAATAATACTATTTTACAAGATTTATTAAAAAAAAAAATTGTTTTTATCTGAGATCTTAAAGAAGACAAAACAAAAGAAAAAAAGATTTCCATTCAATTTACGAAATTCTAATAAGAGTTAGATATCTATGGTTATGGGTGTACACATGTGAATGAACGAATAAATCCTTAACCCACCATATCTTTTTCTCCAGTTTGCAAGCTGTCACCCGTGAAAAGTATGGTGTAGATGGTAGGATGATACTGTACCTGATTGGCTCTGGAGGTGGTCATGGGATCAGATGGAGAGGACTTGGTGGTAGTTGGGGAAGATGGCAATGTCTGGGAACAAAGCAGTTCAGGAGCAAATCAACCTTTACAAGCCTTAGACTGAACAGTTAAAAAATAAATAAACCAACAAAAGTAACATAACTACAAAATTAAAATGAATAAAAAATGCCTAAGACAAAATCTTTCTCCTACTCATTGGAACTTAATGGAATTTAAAGTCAATTGGATAAATAATGCACGTAAATATGCATGCTTATGCATGTAAAAAGAAATTCATGACTTGAAATCAAGATGGTGAACTCACATAAATACTGAAAAATATGCCAGCCACATGAGGAATATATTCTTTCCTCTCTCTTTCTCTTAAGGAAAATGAAAACCAGAAAACACAAATTCCAGCAAGTTCAATGAGCACACTAAAAACAATTATCAGCCTACAAGCAAACAGGGCCAGTGTTTGAAAGAAACTACTGAAATTTACTTTGGCACCTTATAATGCACCATTCTATTGCACGGACTATAGCCAGCAAACTGCGTTCCATACCTTAAAACAATTACACTGAAGCTACGAGCTTTCAGCAATGTAGTAATTACTAAAATATTAATTGATCACTTTTAATTGAGAGGCGTGTGAAAAAATGTAAACAACAATCTCATGATGGATGAGCATGCAACTAATACCTTCACAACAAATTGCTACAATATATTTATCATTAGTGTTAACGATCCTTTAATTGAGCAAAAGTTAATAACGTATCATCAGCCTGCGTTCAAAATAAACACAAAAAAGAATTAGGAGTCATATTTATTGATAATGTTTTCTAAATAATATACATACGCTTAACATTAATTCTTCAACATACCAAAAAAGCACTGCTCTGCTTAAAACTTTATACAAGTATCTCTTTTTAATGTATTAGATCCTGACAGAGGAACTCTTTTCTTTTAATAAATGTTATTAAAACTTCAAATTCCCACTTCCAAAATATAACATACAATACTTGTTCAAAGCATGTATTTTTAACATTTTTATAATATATAAATGATAGAAAATATTCCAAATTACACTATTTTTACTTTAGGAAGTAAAATGTTAAAATGCTGTACAACACAATGCATCATATGGACAAACAATCACTAACCAAAACTATTGAGAAATAGAAGCAAAATTTCACATTTTCAGCAGTTCTGTTACTTACAATCATCGACAGTCCCTCATAAAATAGGTATACATAATTTTTCACTAAAACTCAATGCATATGAAAAGCTGGAACACTGTGAATGCATAAAGTTATGTGTATTAGAAAAATAAGGGCTTGTACATATGCACACACAAATATTTTGTCTGCATGTTAAGCAATATGAAGATCCATCTTTTCATAGTTTGTACATAGTCAAGCAGCCAAAATAGGAACAAAAAAATATAAAGAAACAGATCCTTATTTTTGTTTCCAACTTGTAGTTTACAATATAAAACAATAAAAATAAAAACAAGATACATACAGATTCAGCATCAATTGGGACTTCCTCAAGAAGCTTAAGTAAAAAATACTGCTATGTATGAAGTACTACAAATAAATGCCTGGAAAAGTGTTGTTGATCAGAAGATAGTATATACTTGTGAAAAGCAAGACAATTATAAAGGATTCCCCCATGTCTTTGTACACAGAACATGGGTTCATTTGCAAGCAGTTAGTTATTTTAGAAAAAGAAGTGTCAAATTACACAATAGCAAAGGGCCAGAAATTTGCAATCACAGAAGCATACTTTGATTTTTGAGATCACACAGCATATCTGCACTGATACTCAAGCTCAAACTGAGATGAAAAAAGGAAAGGGGGGGAAAAAAAAGGAAAAAAAAAATAGAAACAGAATGGAAGACTGTAACTCTCCTATTTTTGGTTTTAATTACAACTTAATGTTAAACTTTCATCCTGAATTAGAATACATATATAGATATACACATACATATACTTTGCAATTCTCCAGGAAAAAAAAAAAACAAAAACAAACCCAAACAAACAAAGAAACAACAACAACAACAAAAAGCAAGAAACAAAACATACCACCAAGAAACAGAAAATATACTTTGACTAAAATATTTCATACACATAGCAATTTGTGTGATCATCATCCATTGCTCCTTAGGGCATACAGCAGTGTAACCAGCGTTATTATGGTACACTATGCTAATTGAAAGAAGAAATAGGCTGATAAAATGAACTTTCTTCACTGGTGTTTCTACATCTACATCTAACTACAGGATGAAAACACATGTAGTGCTACAACACTGAATAATGACCTAACTGCTGATAATACTAGGACTGTGTGAAATTGAAGGCATTTTATTTTTCCTTTAATATTAATCTTGTTAAAGAATAAAAAAGTATGGCAGCAAAGAAAAGAGAGTGCTCATATTCAGTTCAGGTGAATACTGAGCTACAACATTCATTAAGTTGATGCATTTCACTATTTCATTTTAGCAAAAGCGTGTTTAAAATACAACAGAAAAAAAGATAAAAGCATTGAAAAGTGAAACAATTATATTAACAAACAAGAATAAAGTAACAACATAGACTTTTTTTTCCAAGCACACATACTGGTGACAAAATATTAGTAGTACGTATTATTATTTTCTAAACTGGGGTGTTTGTGTTTGAGGTTTAATCTCTATTACTTTGTTTTATATTTAGAGATATATGTATGTAAGAGACACATATGTATCTAGAAATACATATATTAAAAAAACTTGACAGACTTTTGTAAAATTTCATCTCTTTTCATGCTTCTTCTTTATAATTCTGGAGAAACGTTAAATACCAGTTATCTATTAATTCCTTCAATATTGAAATAACAAAATGAGATTTCTGGGGGAAAAAAAAAAAAAAAAAAAAAAGGAATAAAAGAAACATCATTTGGAAATTGTTTTGAATTTCCATTGGCTGATTTGTAACATATGAATATATCCAGTTGCCTTGCAAGAGCTTTTAAGCAAAATTAATTATTAAAAAAAAACAAAACAAAACAAAAAAAACTTGGACAGAGCTCAATAATTCTGATTTATTACAGTGTAAAATATATTTTAAAAATTTGGCAAGCGTTTTTGTATTAGGCAAGCACTTTAATTTAGTAATTATTAGGCTTGTGGGAATGAGTTGTATAAATTCACATAACAGAGTTTTTGAGACTGAAACATTTGTAGTGTAATTGAAGCTCTCCTGAAATCACATCTTCCCAGGTGGCAGGCAAGTCACAATTCCTACTGAATACCACTTTTAAGAATCTTGCAGTTTTGTTCTGTTTTCCTTCCTTAAAGATTTTGCGTAAGTTATGTGAGCAAACAAATAGAAGACAATATTTACAGCGAAGAAAATGCTTTTTCTTTGTCTGTTTTTCACTTTTTTCCCACTCTCTATTATAAACCTTTAGAAGAGATTTTAAGTAATAAAAAATTTTGAAGTAAAATTGAGTTGTATTTGAGTTCTCATATTTTCCAAGTTCAAGAAAATACTTCTTCCTTGTTTTTCTCATTAAAAATGCTCTCAGGCTTTACAATATACTAAAGGGCGCAGAAAGATGGCCACAGCGTGACATTTGGATGCTTTGTACTTTTAGCTTGCAAAATGAAGACACATTTGCATCACAGAAATACAGAATATGTACACTAAAACTGCATGGTGTTCCAGAAGGCTTACTGAGACCTCTTTCCTGTAACTCTGTGAACTGTCTAATTAAGATCAACGTATAAATGACAAAGGTCACATCTTTATATATATATAAATTATATATATATGTATATATATATATACACAAACTAAGAAAAGATAAATATTGTACTGAGACTGTTAATTTAATTCTCAATATCTATCAGTGTATTTAGTACACACACGGGTAGAAGGAAAAGGCAGAAAATGAAATATTTAGAAATAAGGTTAGAGACATGAAAGTATAAGACAAAAAAAAAAAACCAAAAACATTTAAATGTAAAGATGAAAGTGCATTTACAGTTAACCACTTTCTATTTTCCCACTATAGAGCTTGCTAAACAATCTTGGTCATAACATTATTCATATTACAGTGTTATTATTACCCATCTAATAGTGTGTTTCAGTCTTGAATATAAACATTCATGCTGGTAGATCAAATTAATTTAATGGGAATATTAATTTGCTTAAGCCAATATTTTAATACATTTTAAAGATAAGATGGTATCTTTTTGGAATATTATAAAATAATTGAATACCTTCTGCAGCTAGAATAAGGAAAAAAAAATCTGAAAATTCCTGTTACACTGTACAACACATAAGACTGACTTAATAAGCTAGTAAATAGCAGCAAAGAGGAGCCTATCTCAGACTCCTTCTTTTGCTAAATACATTAAATTTTCTTTTTCACCTTTTGTGAATTTTTAAAACTTAAAACTTTACAAAATGATTTTCATCTGAGTAACAACTGTATAAGTAACACATTTTAAAAATGCATTATTAAAAAAGAAATTACTGAGAACTGCTAAGTTATTTTCAAACAAGACTGTAAAAGGGCTACTTTGATAACCTAAGGGATCTAACATTACTTGCTACCTTTTCTACAAGGACCAAATAAAAACCATTCAGATTGATATTTCATGCTCTTTGCATTTGGTTTTGCTTTTGTGAAAAAGAATATCTAGAGCATAGAACAGGACAGAAAGTAAGTTAGCATATGCAGATAAAATGCTTGCTTACAGGTATGTACAAGGTAATTTCTGTGTGTTTATACACTCTTCAGGATATCTCCTTGAAACAGGAAACAAGTTGTGGTAAGTCTGTTGTGAAAGAGAGCTTATCTCATATTTTGCCTTTATTGTATTGAGTGAGCATAAAGCAAACTAGCAGGTGCCATTTGGATCATCAAAGCAATTCCTGGATGGAGTGTGTGATTTACGATGAAGATTACAGTAAGGTGGACAAAGAAGGAGAAAGTTTTTCTCAAAACTTGTCACAGTAACACAGAACTAATGTAAGATGTGGTGTTATGTAGAAATACCAGAAAATTCAAGTAGTTAACCAAACACAGGTAACGTGGATCACAAAACTTTGAGAACTAAAGGAAAAAAAAAATCACCTTTTGATTCTGGGCTACTTTGACATTTAAAAAAGTACGATCAAAACTGCAAAGCCTTAGAAAGCTCAAGATAATGAGAACTTCTGCAATGCTAAATACTACTGTTCATTCACCTAAAGCAATCTTCTTTCTTCATTCCCCTTTTGAAGCACATACAAGAGCTAGCCATCAGCAATTAATGGAACATTAATTGAGTTTAAAAAGCATTTTTATACACATATGATGATTACACTGAACACTGGTGAAATGAAACAAAATTAAAATATCATAAAATAGTTATCTAGCAGCAGAAGTCAAATCACATGAGGGATAAAACACTATAAGTTTTTTTTGTGGGACTAGGAATTGGAATGCTGAACTTTTGCCATGGGACCTAATACAAATGACTGTCTCTCTAGTATAGGACAAATTACTTTTGTTCATCCTGATGACTTGGAAACACACCTGCATAACATATAATTCATGGTTAAGAATGGTAATTGATGCCATTCTTCACTGGTATTCAAACCTGAGAAAGGTTTATGAGAAATTATTGAAAAGATTAAGAGACAGTGATTTACAAAACAGCTTATATTTATTATTATCCCCAAATGAAAAATGTGGAGTTTTGTTATAGTCTGCATGTTAATAAGGTTGCCCTAGGTGATACACTGTTTCAGAAGCAGATGCTAAAAGAAGAAAAGTTCATCACATGGGAGAGGCATTTTAAGAAACCTCTTAAATCTATTAAAGCTCTAATTTGACCAACTCATATCCAAAGCATTAAAAAAAAAAAAAAAAAATTAAATCCTCTATTTTAACCAACATATTCTGATGTGTACTGTTAAAGTCAGGTTCTATTTGAGCACTTAGAAGATAAGCTTTTCATTAAATCTGGTGAGTGGTCCAATATATTTTGTTGTTGATCAGAATTTCTGAAGTAATCCTATTCAAGTAGTTCTTTTTACTGGAAGAAAAAGTATGTACAAATCTGAGTTCAGATACTGAATTTTATACATTTTAAGTATAACATCTGGGAATGTGATTAATGAATGGAACAGAAGTTAAACAATCTACAAGAAGTTACTTCTCTACTGAAAAAAGTTGAAATAAAAATATTAATTGGAAGTTCTATATGTGAAAGCTTTAGTCCAGATTTTCAAGGAAGAACCTTTGTTGACATTGTGATAACTAAAGACTTCACAGAATCAATCAGGTTGGAAGGGATCTCAGAAGGCCAGTCAGGATAAACTCTTCATTACAGCAGAGTTCACTATAAGATCACATGCTCTTCCTTACGTATAATGCTAACCTCTGCAATAGCAAAATGCAGTTCCATATGCTTCCTGGGTAGGCTGCAAAAACACCTTCTACCTATAAAATAACTGCATAGCTGGAAGGAAAATTCTGTCATTGTAAAGAAGCTTCAGTGGTTTCTGAATAAGGTGATGTGATAAGACACTACAGAGTTTTCTCCCACTCTTTATAGTAGCTGCTATTAGTTTAGAGGTGAAATTTAAAGCTCTGTAAGCTAATTATGAAGCCAAAACAGCTCAGTCTCCTGAGTACTTTATGAAAAATGCATTCTGTTCTCCCGGTTTATAACATGGTACAAAGCTGGTATGATACTTCCTCTATTGGAGAGGTTAGATCCTCATAGCAGTTTCTAGGAAATAAACGAACATAGTCGGTTATTGTTGAACAGTATCTAGAAGCTACAGATATCTGACAGCTATGAAGAGACTATCTATATTTCATAGAAGTAATAGATGCAAACAGTAATGAGTTAAATATTGATCAGACCTGTTCAGGGTACAGACCTACTTGATATTTATTAGTAAGTCTACAGGGTCAGAAGATTAGAAAAAATATTGTTGAGAAGGCTCAAACTGAATCAGACAGATTTGCCTGTGAGGATTCCAATGATAAAAAGTGTAAGTTAGAGAGAATGGAACATTTGGATTGCAACTTGATTTGTATAAATAAAAGCCAAGCCATGCTCAGCCTCATTGCACACCTGCGCCTTCCTGAAGACAGAAAGTTCTGAAACTTGAGAGAGGCAGCAAACAGTTTAACTACTAACATTCTTAACTGAAATCATAAACATACATCTCCTTTCTTTGCTTGCTTCTTATCTGTAGAGAAGTCCACAATGAGAGCTATATCCTCATACAGACATGGGTGATACTTCAAAGCCTCAAGCTATAAGCACCTTCATTCATAAGGGACAACAGTCCTGTTGTTTTTTTTCTTCTTGCTTGTCTGCTTGAGACAAAATCAACTGAAATATGTCTAAGACCTCCAAGGGAAGGCAAAATTTATAGTTTCAAATCTAATCTTTATCTCATATGCTAAAGCTTCTTTCCTCAGCTCACAACATTATACTTCAGAATACTTGAATGATAAAGTTTTTGGGTAATTCTCTAAGAGAGTAAAAGCACATAAAAAGTTTATGTAAAAGAAGAAGCTGTAATTCATACTGCTTGTTTTTCACATGTTAATAGTGATTTGAATGACCAGAATGATCAGGATAGTGTCTAAAATTTTGTCCTGCCTGTTGTAAGAACATAGCAGCACAGAAGTTCCAGATCATGATTATCCATTATAAAATATCCTTTTACATTTCTTAAATAGAAGTAATTTCTATTTCATTAAGACAGTCGACATTCTGACAGCGGAGTATACTTCACTATAAACTCTATCTAACAACTAAGCTAATAATTTCAAATCTTGGTTTAAAAAACAAACAAACAAACAAAAAAAAAACAAAAAACAACAAAACAGAATTAGACTTACACTGTCAATATTTATATATTATGAAATTATCATGAACAGATGTAACTTCCTTAAAACAAAATTAAAACAATTAACTTTACGTAGTTGAAACTGTTCAACATATGAACAAGCATATCTGCAAATGATAGACAGGTGTTCACCTGTATGTGCACAGATGATATGTTTAAATTATAAAATGTGGAGCCAGAAAAAACATACTAGAATCATGTAAGAAATATATTGTATTCAGCCTGTGTCTAGACTTCAGCGGTAGCAGCTCTAATATCTAAACCATCACTCCAGAAGTTAACATTTCAAGCATGGAATCAAATGAATAAAAGTAAATAAACAAAAAAGAACCAAAAAAAAAAAAAAAAAAAAAAAAGAAAGGAAAAAGAAAACAAAAATACAATGAGAACTAACCACACCACCACCAACTTCACAAGTAGTTTTCTTTAGAACTAATTCCTCCTCAGCTTCTGTGTGGAAAAACTACATCAAATTGAGAAACAAGACAGGAAGTATTAAGGAATATCACTATGCAGCTCTGTAATCTAGTTTCTCAGTAGTGACTTGAAAAGAATTTCACATACATTGCAAAGTGGAAAAGCACTTTTTACAGCAATAAATAAAATTCATTTCCCACTTGGTTAAGAGGTAACGGCATAAAATCTAACATTCTACAGGATGAAAAGACATTTAAAGCACAGATCTGCTCTTCAGGTTTCTCTCTCTTCCTCTCCTCTCCACCTCAGGCACAAACATTTTCATGTCTAATAACTGAGAGACTAATTCTAAAAATTGAGGCTTTTCATTTTGGTATTTTCTTATAAATTACCTAGAGGGTTTTTTGTTTGGTTTCGTTTTTTAGTGCAAAAGTATAACATGTAAAGAAAATAGTAGTAATAATTAGAAATCACATACAGTGGCTTGGCACAGTTTCATCCATTTAAAACAGTGTGTTCATTTACCACATCTTCATTTATATGTTCTGTGTATGGCTTTACATAGAAAGTAAAGTAATTGCAGATAGTTACTAAATTACTTAATAGGACACTGAATCTAGTAGTAGATTCAGTAGCTAGTGTAGAGGACCAAACAAACATCCTACGTAGAAAAGGTGAGAAACTAATGTTCACTCACTTCCTTCTTCATCTTTTTCTAATTCAATAAAATGGAAAATAATTTATTTAAAATTCTATATTACGAATTCCACATTCTCCTTATAGAAAATGATTTCTTTAAAATTAGAATTGTTTTGGGAATTACAGTGAACTAGAAAAAACACTAATCCAATGATATCTTGAAAAAATATTTTGCATGTCCTACAGATACTGAAATAAGACAATATAAAACAGGCAAAAAGATGCCAAAAATAACAGAAAATGAGTAGTAGATAGCATCCCAAATAAGTTATCTTTATATTTTCAAATTCTCACATGTAAGATTTTTAAGTATATATTTAAAGGTCTAAAATACAATTAACATTTTTGGGTTTGTTTTTGCTTTATTTAAGATACATGAAAATAGTAAAAATTCTTTCAATTCTCTAAAGATTTACAAGAGGCTCATATTTTTAATTTTAAACTTTAGCAATCCTTTTTAACTAAAACCTAGATGTGTATTATTGCCTAATACAGTAGAGAAGAGTTTACGAAAGAAATACATTAGAGTCTGAAATTTGTAAGACACTAAAAGAACTGCTGGGAAACTTGGAACATGCAAGCATAAAAAAGAAGTGGACTAGTAATTTAGTAAATCACTAAAAAGGAAAATAACATGTTCTGAAGGAACATATTATGTTCACCCTTTGCTGCCTTAAAATTTTAAAGCTTCTGAAAACGGAAGCTAATTCTAAGGAGTTGATGCGACTCTCTATTCCCAACCAAAAACTCACTTGTTTGATGCGGTCTGGATTGACAGTGGTCTGTGGCTGTAGGATGCTGACAGGCTCTGTCTTGGCCACATTTTGAGGCATTTCTCGAATCTTCTCTGCAATGAAGCCATGAACTGCATTTAGTGCTTCAACTGTTCCCTGGATCAGACACACCCGCTCTGTAGTACCTGAAAGAAAAAAGTTGATCAAACGGGTTTGTCAGAACTCACAAATCACTTGAATTATGTCATAAAGATGGTGCTCAAAAGCAATCTTAACAAAACATCTAGCAGTATCTCAGTAAGTATCTCAAAATGTTTTAAGCAACTCATATTTATGTGGACTCCATAAACATGTAACTTCCCAATCCAGTCTGGACAAAAGACGATTTGTAAGCAATTTGAAAAACTGATTACTGGTAAACTGATTACATTCTGAGCAGTATACTACATCTGTGTCAATACATTTGTCAATATATAACAAAAAAAATTCAGAATATTTACGTGACGAGTTATAACAGGTTTTCAATACATCATCTCCAAAATATGATTCTATTTTTTTTTCCCCAAATAACACTAATAAAGAAGAGGGTTTGAATGACATAAGTGGAAGTGACCACTGTAAATGAAGCTTGTTTCCTGCACGTAGCTTTCTTGATGCTACTTTTCTACGTGGATTCTTCCTCCCCTCAGAAACAACTCCTGTGGTTTTTATGTAAAGCAATCCAGCTCTAAGAAAATGCTCTGGGGAGTCTTTACACTGCAGTATTAATTGTCTCCTAAATGATGAGATGTGATGTGGATTGATCAATGCAGCTAATGCAAGTGTTCTCTAGGTCAGCAGACAACACATTGAAACCAAACATAGATCAGGTTACATCTAAGCTACTGGAGTCTGATATGGAAAGCACTTAACAAGGATGACTGCTGTCAAAACATGTGAAAGGAGAACAGCCACTGCTAAACAGGAATTTCATTGGACTTGGCAGTAAGTGACTAGAGGGTAAGCTACTGTCTGTGTTATTTTAGAACACACAACAGAGTAGACACACATTTAATCATACTACTTAGTCCAAACAACATGCATTCTAATACGCATAAACCAGAAAGCAGTAAATGGGCATCACTGCTCCATGAAGAAAGAGAATTGTGCAAATGCACACTATACATAGAGTAAGATACAGCTTCAGAACATGTTGTTATAGCAGTCCATTTTCTTTGAAGGTTAGGTCTTAGAATTTCTAACGAAATAAATGAAAAAAAAAAAAAAGTTGAAAAGAATAGGGGTCTGAAAAAATTGTTCACACACACACAGCTGGGAAATGCTTTAATCTTTTGAAGCAGTGTTGTCAAATTCCCTCATTTAAGTCTACTGGCTTTTCACTCAGATAACAGTGTACAATCATTTGCAAGAGTCACACATGAAAAACTATCAGACGTGACCAACCTGCACAACAAAAATAAACCTATAAATCACTGAAGTTGGTAAGATCTGTCATTTAAAAAACTTCTAGCCCCAATTACCGTCTAACACAAACCATTACATTATTATTTTCAGACATTTAACAAGCCCACTGCAGGTTTCTATGAAAAAAAGAACAACTCAGCCAGCAATACTTCATATAATCTTCAAAATTTGTATTAAAATTACAAATCTCATTCTTGAAACAGCTTAAAGCTTGAAAAACAAGCTATCAAATGTGTCTTTATGGATTATTTTTTTTGTGTGCAGACTTTGCCAATATATTTTTAAAATAAATTACACATAAAATCAGAGTTGTCGTATATGATTAATTTCCTTTTACATATAAGAAGAAATAAAACATATACAAGTCAAGAATAGCTTTTCCACAGAAAAATAATATATGCAGATTTGGTGGTCATCACCTGCAAGGTGTTTATGCTCATCAAAAATATATTTATAAAACTAATACAGAAAAAGGGAATTTGAATCAGGTTTTTGTTTGTTTGCTTTTAGGAGGCAATTCATAGATCCTAACTTTTGAATATGAAAACAGATATTGAATTAGAAAAAATACTCTCCACAGTTCCATGGGGAGAGAACTAGCAGACATCTAGCATTAGCAGACATCAACCTTAAAAGTAAATAAACAAAATCCTGCTTTGATATTCACTGAAGTTAGGTATGCCTAAGAGCTTAAAAGATTGCATTAACTTTTATCATTCATTTTCCTTCTGACCCCTTTACCTACCCAGAACTTCACTTCTGGCAAACATCCTTTCACAACTACCTCCTGTAATACAAAGTCCATTTTAAATGCAGTTGTGAAACTTCAAACTCTCACAAAACAAGCTTCTCATCTAAGAAGGTTAATTACTTATTAATCAACTGATACAGTTTTTAAAACAAACATTAAAATAAATGCAGGATGCAATACGATGAAAGAAGCTAAGAAATTTGATGCTTGCATTGTTATTTGTATTTCTAACAGGCATACACCTATCTATACTAGGTACTATTATGCTTTAAGTGCTTCCTTCAAAGTTCTGATTCAATAAGTGAAAGTTCTACTGCATTTACAAAACATTCAATAAAAAGTAAAATATGCTTCTGTATTTTGTGAGCCTGAGTAAAAGTATTTTGGGAAACACACTGTACCTTTCAGAAATGAATGTCTGGCTTTTCTGTGTTTCTGTATATTTTTTCATTGGGCTTCTGAAACAATCTTAAAGAGCCTAATGCACTTCCAAGAATAAGGTACCCTCAATGCATCTACTAATTATATCTTCTTATACTTTTCCAGTGTACCATACCAATTTGACAGTGAAAAGGAAAACCTGACAGAGGAGCCACAGCTAATAACTAATGGAAAGGCTAAGTTACAATCTCTCATCAACTAAATTGCATTAAGGTTTTTATTGGATAAATCACAGTACAACTGTCTACTACCCTTAGCATCCCAGGCATTTATTTTTCTGACCAATGATCAAAAGGCCTGTACAGTGGGGTTCTAACACAGCTAGGAAATGTTTCACCCTGTTACTTACCTCACAAAATTTGGTAAAATATGATTGTGCCTTGACACAATTACTCTGGCAATATAAAATAAACAGTCTTTTGTAAATTGCCAGTAATGTCCTTAACATAAACTTTCTTCCTTGTCTATAACATTTCCTCTCTGCAATTACATAAAATCTCAATAAATAAAACCAGACAATGAAAAATATGTTTTACTGAAATACATTAGTAATATTTTGTACTTTCAAGAGATGTAAGAGATTTTTATCAGATAAGTGAAAAAATGCACATATCCTTAAATGTAACAAGTCACATATGTGCAAAATGTCAAAGAAAGTTCAAGAAGGCACTCTTCTCCATCAATAACTCCCTTTGCTGTACTTGTATTCTCAGTTCCTGAGGCAGCTCTAGTTGTTATTAGTTGAGAACTCATTCCCATCTCCATCACAGAAAGACATCTTTCTCAACACAAGCCTTGATGTGCTAATAGACTTCCCTGACTAGAAGAGGCAACAAGGGCTGGCAGCAATAGTAACACTCCCATGTTCTGCATTCATTCTGATCCAGACAAAATAATGTGGGAACTGTTTACACAAAACACATACCAAATTAGAGACTGAAACTTAATATTGCCTGATAAAGTAATTAAAGTAACAGACTCAAAGAGAAAAATCTAATTGAAGTAATCTGTGAAATCAGAAAGAAATAAGTACAGCCTGAAGGAAGCTTCTTTATGTCTCTTTCATAAAACTAGGGCATACTTAACTTAGATACAGATTATCAACCAGACACATTTCGCTTAACTAATGCTCCATTCTTCTTTAACAGAGAGATAAACAGATCCCTTTACTGTTTCATCTGCAATTACACCTTCTGAAATTCCAACTATTAACGTTTTCTGCAGCTGATACTTCACATCAGTCAAACGTCTAATAAAAAAGTTTAAACATGTATGAATAGCAGTTTGTTTCTTGAAACGTGATGTTAATCAAGTGCAATCAATGATTGTGATTTGCTAAAATCTGGAAAACTGAACATTAGAAATATCAATCTTCCAGTATTTTCTTATCAGGTGTCCCGACATTCACAGGAAGCTTTAGCAGAAACAGGTTACTGCTGAGCCCTTACTGATCACATGCAGCACATCAGTGTGGCCAAAATGGTTAGCTAACTAGATTTTGGAAAGGGCTATTTTACTTAACTGTAGATCCCAAACTCAATCCTTTCCCAGGTCTTCACACAGATTTATGACAGGAAAAGGAGCATTCCAGCACGCGCACCACTGTGCCCAACTGCACTTTCAGTGGGGTGTAAGAGAATGCCCCAGTGTGATGTATAACTTCACCACCACAAAATTAGGACAGAACACTACATCTGAACACAAGAGAATCAGTGTGAGGCAACACATAGTCACAAGATATGTCAAAATAAATGCTAGTCAAAATAAAATGATAAAATTTTATTCTATATAGCGATGTTGAAACAAGACAGACTCTCAGATACACCGCTATGAGTTCAAAATAAATCAGCTGTCTTAGTAAGTGTACACAGTCTCCCCAACTTCATTTTGGCTTTTTCTCAAAGTACACAACACAGCAAGATGATAGCTCGAGTTACTCAATTTGCATACATACGGTTGCATCTAGATAAATGTGGCTAGCCATGAACACATGTGCATATACACATTAATATTCACATACTACTTATTTTATGTGTATTGAAAATTACCTCAAGTACAATTTAGGTAATGAAATGAAACAAAATGAAAACTGCTTCATAGCACCTGAATTTTCATATCTATATGAAAACTTCATGTTCAGAAGTTGCGCTCAGGTCACGAGTGAATTACATGAATCTGGGTTTGGTGTACTTATTAGTATGAACTGAGAGACTATTATTCCCCTGTCAGAAAGAAATGTAAGAAATTAAAGAGATCATAAAATTAAAAAACAGGAACACCACACAATTGACAAAGGCTTTGAGGAAATGGAGAGACATCTTGAAAGCAAACAGTCCCTTCTATACAAAATGTTTTGTTGGCTATCAGCTAAGGATTTCATGCTAATTTCCAAAACATTAAATTATACAAACAAAGATAAGGAATTACTATAGTTATTACACTGTTGTAATTCTTGTTTACTGTCTAACATAACTACTTTCCTCTGCTTAAGATTCTTCTAATAAAAAAATTGCATATTTCACTTTCAAA